ATTTGTCATTTAGGCTTTGAAATATAGCTACCATTTTTCCTCAAGTATATCAATAGTATCAGAGCCACCCATCACCCTTTATGGCTTGTGGCGGAGTGAAAGCTACCCAGTGTGAAGACGATAACGACGGATGGGAAGCGTGGTAGTTTGTTATAGTCCATTGTAATAAATGAGACTTTCGTCTCGCATCGATAATATAATATGCTAAGCGTGAAGTTTATATAGCCTTGGGATACATAAAGTATCAAGAACAACAAAAGTAATGTCACGTGACACTGCACTATTTCGCTGAAAAAGATTTTTGCTGGTCAAAAGTCCAAATGGCTCAACCTTTAAGAATAGCTTATCATGAATACGATGAAAGTAGCAAAGTGAAGTACGTTTGACACTGAAAAGGAACAAAGTAAACCTGGGAATAATAATCCATGAAAACTTAAGTTATCAGTGCTTATTACGTAATGAGTGTCTATTGCTTCTATGTTAAGGCATCTATAACGTATGTGATTACGTCAATAACTCATCAGTTGATTTAATCTTATAGTTAATCTTCATATTTTTTGTCCTTTTGTTGGAAATTCGTGGCTTTACCTTCAAAGTGTATTGACTTGTCTCTAAACTTTTTTCTGGTCACGTCACCGTCTCTTTTATTCCACTCATATATTCCCTATCAACCCCTTCATTTTCTTTTCTAAAAGTTAACATACTTTTCCAATTACTTGTGCTTTAGTGCTTTCTTACTTTTCTTTTTCAATTAGGAATACTTGATATCAAGATGCACCCCTCAATTTCGTTAACTTTCACTTGGCTTCCCTCATTTCTACAATTTACACATTTTCTTCAATATCTTCGGCACTATAATACATGAATAGTTATGCAACAATAACAAACTTAGTGTAATTCCACAAGTGTGGTCTGATAAGGATAACGTGTATGCAAATATTATTTTTACCTTGTGCAAGTAAAAAGGTTATTTCTCATAGACTCTCGGCTCAAGAAAAGTATAAACTTAGCAATAATGAAAAGGAAATTTAGAAGTGAAGAAGCCATAAAAAAGAAGCAGTAACAACATCAAGAAATGCATGAATAGTTATGCGATTAATAATAATACTTGAATGATATATTGAAATGTGATGAATAATATTTAATGAATTCTTTTGGGTTGATCGGGTAACAAGAGCAAGATGGGAGAAATTCAAAAATAACTAGATTTACAAGTGGTCATTCAAAAATAGTCACAGTTTCAAAAGTAATCAAAATTTAGCCACTTTTCATGTAAAGATAAATTTGAACGAAAATACTGTTCAAAATCCGAAAAAATACTCCAGCATAATATACTGGAGTTTGGAGCACCGGTGCTCCAGTCTCCAGTATATTATACTGGAGCCAGCAAAGTATACCGGTCCAGCATAATATGCTGGAAGTTCATACACAGGTGCACCGAACTCCAGTATATTATGTTGGACTGGTCTCTGTTGCAGCAAAATAGTGGCTATTTTTCAATAACTTGGCAAACGGTGCCTATTTTTGAATGACCAGTCCGAAAACTGGCTAGACCGTGCTATTTTAACGACCAATATGTACCTTTATCTTAGTATACATAATCTGTATATTCGTAAAGATTGTCTTTTTCAGATATGGTTAACAAAACAATTAATTTTCTCTAAATTAAAATGTTGGTTAAATTCATTTCATCACATAGAGCTGAGACTGTTAGGGATATAGTAGATATGCCCTAGATCCAATATCACATTTGATGTTTTGAACATATTTTTATAAAATATATATGGCATTTGATATTCTTTTATCATTGTTATTAATTGCTTGATTAATTTGATAAGGTCCTTGATTAAATTTTGAGACTTGACATTGTGATGGAGATCATGATAATGAGAGTGAAGTTTCTTATAATTTAATCTAAGTCTATTCTTGATCATAGGATTATTAATTTGGACATTAGTAATCCGATTAGATCGATATTTATGTGATCGTCTTTATGAGATAAAGATTAGTTGATCTCATTAACTAAATTACATAGATAGATGATGCATATAGAGATATGATCATTGAACCGACTCATTGGATAATTCCTAATGGTTAGAATTACCATAAACTGTCAATAGGATATTCTCTTGAAGAATGTGATGTAAGAGTTTCCTTTGACCTGAGATCGTCATAGTAATTGACAAGTTATTTATTGTGCTTTGATACTAGACACCTATGGCCCTAGGGCGATAGTTGAAAGGATATTGGGTATGATTAAATGCTTGTAGAATTAGTGATTGATCAAGATGGAATCTGTCAACTCTTGGTAATGAGTTTAAGCTCCATGTTGTCATGAATTATAAACGACCAAATTAAGACCTTGGCCAGGGCAATTGAATGAAAGAAGAAAAGAGTTTCTTAGGTCATTCAATGGTCGATTATATTTGACATGAACACATAGTTGGTCGCCTATTAGGATTTGACAGTTGAACCATATCCTAGGGTGATCCAGAGCTATAAGGACAGAAGGAATTACTACATTATTCTTCTACTGGTTCTTGAGAGTAAATTGTATGCTTCATGCTATCCGGTCGTTAAGGAGTGTTGCTAGACGCCACCCTTGATTAGTATATTGATGTGATCAATTTACTACCGGCTTAGTATTGAACCTATGGGGTCGCACACTAACGAGTGTTCTGGTCTTTGCTAGAGGATTGATTATTTTATTATTTGGTAATTAAATTAAGGAATTTAATTAGTCAAATACATTTAGTTATTAGTCCAAATGAAATATTATTATATTCTTTGCTAGCACAGAGGATATAATAAATATTGTGAACAAATTGAAGTTTTCTATTTGGAATAGAAAATTAAATTATATCTCTTGGTTGAATTATATATATTTGATATATATAATATAAATTAATATTGATTTATATAAAGGTTATATATATAATAATAAATTCATCCTTACCAATTTGGAATTGGAGATGAAAGTCCACAAAGACATACACGTAATTCTCATCAGTATGATTGTCATTCGAAACCCTTTGTGGTGTTTAATTTGGTATTGGATTTATGGAATGTCCATAAAACACCTTCGGCAGTCACGTTTTTCAGAAAAAACGTGATTTGATTTTTCCATAAATAAGAATAAACTTTACCCCAAATAAATCATTATCTCAACCAAATAGGAAAAGGGTTTGTAGCTGATGCTATATAAAGGGTGATGGAGAAAATTTGCCATAATATTATTATTATTAATTCTTGAGAAGAAAAACACTTTGTGAAAGTGAGAGTGCAAAAAAAAGCCAAGAGAGAAAATACAATTACAAGAAAAGTGTTTCTTGTTCTTCTATCTTTGAGTTGAGATTTTTGAGAAAAATTTCAGCACAAGCTTTCCGTTCAATTTGTTTACGGGTTTCATTAATCAAAGAGTTGATAGCAAGGATCGGTCTCGGTGTGGATACCCATAGAGTCTTCGCACTATCGAAGAATTTGAAACAAGACTTTCTTCACCAGGTACGTCTTAGATCCGATCTATTGATTTGTAAATAAATTTTAAACATAAAAAGATCTGCCTAGGATTGTTATTGTCTTCCATTGCGTGTTACGAACACCTATACGCAATCCATCAGAGACATCTCGTCATATAATCTCACATGTAAGCTCGACAGTTTTGATCATCAAAAATGAAAGAAAAGCAAACGAAAGTAGGCCTATTCTTAAAAAAAGATACCAGCTTGTTAATTTTTATATAGCCTGCCATAGCAAACGTTAATAAAGTAGTCAAAAAGATATTCAAAATTTAAAATGTGCAAAATAGTTTTAAAAAAACATTCATATAAACTTCAGAAAGTATTTGGAGTTCGAACTGCTACAACCTGCAAATAGAACACCAAGTCGAACTATTGCAAGTGAACTCCAGGATTATTTCTGGGAGATACAAATAAAATTCTAAAACCTGAAGCTCGAAGTTTATACAAGTAAATTGTCCTCGAGTCTAATGTAATAAATCCAATGTAATCCAACAAGTGAGGTCTCTGAAGATTAGTGTATACAAAGACCTTACTCCTACCTTGTAAAGATACAGAGGTTGGTTGTTTCCGATAGACCCTCGGCTCAGGAAAAGCATAGTCACGGCTTGAGGATCTATCATAGTCCTCTCAAGAGACCACGTCTACACACTTCGCACAAAAAATAGAATGATTTGTTTCTGTTGCCAGTATTTCTGAAATGAACTCAAAAGTTGTGTTTTTTCTTTTTACACTTATTCTCATCAATTTTATGTTTAATCCTCCTAGTGCTAAGTTTATCATCTTCTTTCTTTCTTTCATTTTTTGATTAATTGATCTTCCTGCCTGCTTCATCTTCGTACAAGAAGTCCAAAAGAGCTTCACAATCTCTTTTTTTGTTCTCCTTTGATTTCTTCTCTGTGCAAAGAAGTAGAGAGACATTACAGAGTGTGCCGTTTTAAACAACAACAAACCCAATGTAATTCCATAAGTGAAACTGAGTATACCGTTTTAAACAACAACAGACACAGTATAATTCCATAAGTGAGGTCTGAAAGTCTACTGCTTTGTTAGATGTAAATATTTTTCAATTACTTTACAAACGCTACCAATTAGCAACCCGAAAAGTGACTAATTCTTCTAAATCATCCCTATTATTTGACCATGCGCCTTGCATGGTCAAAATTCAAATAAAGCAAAACAAATAGAAAATGGCAGCCGCTTCAGGTGCGCATGGCCTAAAAGTCATGAAAGATTAACCCAAATAGCCGCCCACTTAATTTTTTAAACTAAAAATAGTCGGCATATGTGTAATAGATATGTATAATTCATGTATACTATATGTATAACTGCATATAATCTATGTAGGCAGGTTAAAAAAAAGTAACATTGAATATGACCGACTATTTATGTAACAATCTCAAACTTCACCTTCATCTTTCTTGTGGTGGATGTTGCCCCCCTATAACAGTCTAAAAGATGATAACAAAAGGTAATAAGATCTGAAAGAGTATTAAAGCGAAGACGCTTAACTTTATTTTAAACCGGTTTAACAGACAGACAAACATTCTGTCGACAGCTAGATTGTACATTGGTCCAAGGTTTATAGCAAAAAAACTACGTAAATATATTACATAGCCAGCCATTTTCCTCTTTACTGAAGACAGTTCAAGAATGGAGGACAAGGGGCCTCCGCCGACAACTACAAAACTAGAATACACGGAGATGCTGCTATACCAGCTTAACCTCCTCGGACGAGTCTTCTCAAGTCCTCATTCTCCTTGTTCAAAAGATCGATACGAGATTGAAGAATGTTGATCATTGCCTGAGCTCTCATCACTTCAATCTTCAACGTTTCCCTCTCCATGGAGACATTTAGTATCTCGTTCTCTAAATTGCTAATGAACTTCAAGTAACCTGGTGGGACAGATTTTTCGAGGTTGGAGGAGTCGAAAGTAGGGGGATTAGAAGGTTGGCTTTCTTTAGGTTCAAGGGGCTCTAACAAGGGGAATGCTAAGAGAGAAGGGGGGGAGTAATTTGTCGTCATCATCGTTGTTGGTGGATCCTGTTGGCTAGTAGTTGAATCTTCAGAACCATTTGCATGGCTAGAGCTAGGATCTTCGCGCTTGGATCTTTTGCTTTGAGCTAAAGAGAGGGGTTCTGGATCTTCTGGTGATCTCTCTCTCTTGCAAATAAATGGAATAGGTTGGGGCTCGAGCAGGTTCTCACTTTGGCGAGGAGGAGCCTTATGTCGAGCATCCTGTTATGAACAGCCAACAGTTAATAGGACATCTGATCTTACCAATAATATATAAGTATTTATCAGAAAAATAAAATCCAAACAACAGTTCCATGTCATTAACTTACATTCGTCACTGTGAGGACTTTTCCATAGCAAGTAAGCTACTCATTTGAATTCATACATATCATCAAGCACTAATCACTAGGAAAAACATAGGAAAATTCTCTTGAATGGAATTTAAGAGACCGATACATCGACAGTAATTGCAAACTCCTTTTGTTTTACATGTATAATTTATTTCCGGGGCTCCAGGTATGTAATGTCAATTAAACAAAGCTCCATCAAACCAACTACCCATACTAAAACCATTAAAAAAATTCTCCCTTTCCCAAAAAAAACCATCATTCCACCCACAATTACAATCGACACCAAACAAACTTGCATCCAACCAGTGACCATAGTAGCAAATAAAGCATCATAGTTTTCCAAGTTGAAGTTCATCTACTAGGGTTTGTGATGATTGCCGGGATAAAGTACACTCAAGCACCCACTGGTGAGTGCGTCCCTCTGATCAATGAAGTGGGTGCCAACCTTGGAGACAAAGGGTTCAAATCTCAACAGTGATAAAAAATGATAGGTTATTTCTCCCCATCTGCCTCAGACTTGGTTTGCAGAATTACCTGGTAACTATGCTAATGGGAAGCAGCAGGTACCAGGGGTATCGCTAAGATGCACGCAGGCTGACCCCGACACCATTGTTGCATAAAAAACGCTGAAGTACAAAGAGAGAAAAGCGTTTGTGTCTTATGGCATTGCCACTTCACTAAGTGTAAAGCAAAAACCCTACAAGTCCCCCAAAAAATAAAAAAGGTAATTCAAGCCCTTGATGTATGTACTCATCCTTCAATACTACAGTTTACTTCCTTCTTTTTCTCTTCCCATGCATATCAATGCACACCACGTTCCCATTCAGATGTGAAGTAGCTAATCGACCAACATTCCCTTAACACAAAATAATGCTACCTAACTTAAAAATAGTCAACTAAAATCATACATGATCGCCATAATTTGAAACGACGAACAAATCAACACGTCCAATAAATCAGTCAGAGGATTTTATCCACCGAGTATTTTCTCCTAACACAAAGAGGAGAAAGAAAACAAAACACATAAATTGATAGATCTCAATGGATAGATCTAGCGTAGCCCTAGCCTGAAAGGCAATAAAATCTTCTTTCCTTCCGGTGGTGTAGGGCATTGAAAACTAGAAACTGGCTAGTTCTACTCCCCAAGTAGCCATATTATTACCCACATTAGAACTGCACTTACCTGTGATAAATGGAATCTGAAGAAATAAATGTGATATTCACATAATCTGAAAAGATAAATTTGCCAATTAGTTATTCCTTTTAAGAAGTTTGACCCTATGGCGTGAAAACAAGATGAGAAACTAATCAATCTAAAAATTATTTACATTGTCTTCTTTTCATTTAGAGATAATTGGAAGTTTGGAACTAGCCTACATCATTCACTCCACGTCAGGGACACAATTTAAAAGCCTTCTTCTAGGTTTCATGTCTCGCTCACAGCATTAAATTGGCAGGTCGGTAGATTGCTCCCTAAGTCCTTGGAACTGGACCAGATCAAAGTCTGAATACCCTAAAACACGCACTTATACGAGGCAAAGAAGCAGGGAGATCGGACATTGTTCGCCGTCCAAGTAACTTGAGGACATATAAGGGTCTCTATGCCAATGTGACGACTCCAATACACGACTATGTGGAGCCAGGCTAAAAGGTTATAGAGAATGAAAAAAACCACCCTGTCGACTTGTGCCTCTCACCAAAAAAAAACGAAGCTAAAATGAAACCTCAGCGAAGCCAGCTGCCTTCACATTTTACTTCGACAAATAAAAGATAACGACAAATAACTTAGATCACGACAAAAACATTAACATCAGATGGATGAAAACATTTAATGAAGCAAGCAACTATCACGTTCTAACAGAGACCCTTGTTTCCGACAAACAGTCATACAAGGAGAATAACGAGAAACTAAAAGAACAGGAGACATTCTTAAAGAAGCTAAAAAATTTGGGTTTCCAAAGAACAGCCATACAAGGAGAAAGAAGACAAACTAAAAGCAGCAAATATTCTTGCAATTAAAAACACTGCATCAACATGTAGCGACAATAGCATTCATAATTTCTTGTAACAGTAGGTTGCTTTTATCCGCATAAATAGCAGCGGCAAAAAAAGCGGCTATATGCAAAGATTTGCATTAAATGCATAGATTCGGTATATTGAAGAGATCAGGAAAATATGAACCTGGTCAAGGTCATTGCCCTCAACTCGTGCTTCATCACCATTGGCCACGTCATCCTCTGTCTCTCCTCCGGGAACCAGCAGAGCTGTATCATCATCCCATTCCTCCTCAATAAATGGAGCATATCTGTCGCCATTCGGAGGTCCTAATCCACTTTTTTGGAAGATTCTACAAAGTACAAAAGCATCCTTTTTCCTCGCAAACAAACAAAAACATATTAAGATTCGAAACTTCAATAGAACACAACCTATGCATTTTCCAAATGCAAATTCGCACCTGCACAACTCCAGCCCTTTCCAATTCTTCATCGGTAAGTCTGTACTCATGCATCACCCAATTAGTTCGCTTACCATCAGGAGCTCGACCACTATGGAAAACGAGCGTTTTCTTCATTCCAATGGTCTGAGACTTGTGGCGAACAGGACGATCCTTCCCAGTAGCTTTCCAATAGCCCTTGCCAGTGGCTCGGTTAAGACGAGATCCATTCCCATACTTCCTATCTACTGGGCTGAAAAAGTACCACTCTAGATCTCTGGTCTTCAGCGATGAATATTCTGTACAGAAAAAAACAAAAGGCAACTCATCAAAATTAATGACTACCAAATTTAAGAGAAGAAAGTGTCTACAAAAACGAGAAACGGATAACACATCCAAACAAATACAGCACAGCTTTTACAACAACCGACAAAGAAGAAATGCAATTCTTATGCAGCAGCATTATGACTTTTAGGGACACCAATCAAAAGACAGAAATGCAGAAATCTTCCTGAAGACTAAGAGCACTACATTGCTTCTCTAATCAAAAAATTATTTGTCGGGTTTTGCAGAAACATTCGAATTCTCTCTGACGTCTTCAAACGGGTTACAGATTTAAATCCTGTACATAGATAAGCTTTATGAGAGAGTAAAAAATCCTTTAACAATGAGTCAGCAATTCCTTCTCAGACCATTCCTCTTTAGAACATTGATGACTAAAAATTTAATATTTATGGTAAAACAATCTTAAAGGCACATTTTTTCTTACTAAAAACTCAATGTTTGTGGTACAACAATCATAAAGACACATTTTTCTTACTAAAAACTCAATATTTATGGTAAAAACAATCATAAAGACACATTTTTCTTACTAAAAATTCAATATTTATGGTAAACCAATCTTAAAAATATTTTTTTCTTACTTAAAACTTAATCTTTATGGTAAATCAATCTTAAAGATATCATTTTTCTTACTTATCAAAATAAAGAATTAAGCTTTCAAGCTCCATTTTACCAATAAATTGAAACGATGAAAAACACAGAATAAACCACAAACAGATTGGATGTTTTCACTTACAAAACTAAGCAAACATCTCAAAAACAAACTCAATCTTAACATACATAACAAAAAAAGCAAAAAAAGAGAGCAAGAGATGACAATTTTTTTTAATTAAAAAACCTCATAAACATGATTAAAAATCAATTTAAAAAAATAAACCTGCAAGTTCCCAAGGCTCAGATTTGTAAACATCAATTTCAGAAACAGCCTGAAACCGAAATGGCTTCGCACAAGCTTTTCTCCTTAGGTAGTACCTCACCAACTCCTCATCTGTTGGATGAAACCTGAAACCCGGCGCTAACGACGTCGGCGGCGGAGCCACTGCCCTCTTCGGCGTCGCCGTCGTAACAGGTACTGCCGCCGGTACTACAACAAGTGCTCCTTCTTGCTCCATTTTTTGGCCGGAAAATCAAGAACCAAAAAAAACACAAGAAAATGATAATTAAGGTTTCTATTTAAGAAACCCACCACAGAAATAACAGATACATAAGAAGGGGGCAAAAGGGTGTTAGGTTTTGAGAAGATTAGAAGTGAAGCAAAGCTTAAAAGAGAGAGAG